TACAACTCCATACAGTTGAACGCAGAGCTGTTGTACGGGAGGCTATTACTTCTGACATTGGAGTGTTTATGTCTGTGGCGACAACTTTGAAGGAGTTTGGTCAATGGATATGTGGGGATTGCATGAAGCTTCATGCCCTGAGTCGTTCATGTCACCACCCGGGTGGCTTGATTAAGTTTATTGACGGGGCTGATGACATTAGCATGCATATTGTTGGCATTCCAAAGCCGGTACCCAATGAACCGGAAGCCGACCTCAATGATGGGTTGGTGATGGATGCTCAACTACTTGATCGTGTTTTTAAGCTGCCTATCACCACTGTCAAAAGCATCCCTCATAACTGTCGTATGACTTTCTCTCAGGCTTTGAAAGCAGCCCTTTCCAAGGTGGTTGCTCATCCCGGATCCGTTGAAGCGTGGGTTGCTTTGTTAATTCTTCCTAGGTGTACTCTTCAGGTGTTCAGGCCCAAGAATAGGCAAGAAAGTAGGTCTGGCAACAGGAAGTCTTTGCAACATCGTAATATCTTGAGCACTTTAGCTACTTGGGGGACTGAAGACGGTATCGCCAAGGTAGTTAAAAACTTAATTGACAATGCAAGACTCGAGCAACAAGATAAAAAAGAAGAGTACATTCAGGAGAAAAGAACACCGGGCAGCACCAATGTCAGACAATGTCTTCGTAAGGTTGCCGATGGACATTTTACAGCAGCAGTGAAAGTTTTATGTTCTTCGGGGGTTGCTCCATTTGGGGGTGATACCACGAAGGCATTGGAGGATAAGCATCCATACAAGCCACCGCCTTCCATGCCCAACACCATATTTTTGAGAACCTCCTCTGGTAGTGGATGTTGACAATGTCCTTGGGGGAATTAAATCCTTCCCTAAAGGTACCTCGTGTGGGAGGGACGGGTTGAGAGCTCAACACATTTTAGATGCCCTTTGTGGAGAAGGTTCGACTATAGCCAAAGACCTCCTACGTGCTATTACTTCTGTGGTTAATCTATGGCTAGGAGGAAGATGCCCTTCGAGCTTGGCAAAATTTGTTGCCTCTGCTCCTCTCACGCCGCTCTTAAAACCTGACAAGGGAATACGACCTATTGAAGTAGGTACTATATGGAGGCGTTTGGTTTCTAAGTTGGCCATGAAGGGGGTTGGTAAAGAAATGGCCAAATATCTCAATGATTTTTAGTTCGGAGTCGGGGTGTCGGGTGGCACTGAGGCCGTTTTACATAGCGCCAATAGGTTGTTGAGTGAGCGCCACGATGACAAATCTCTCTCCATGCTTACCGTGGACTTCTCTAATGCCTTTAACCTTGTTGACAGATCCGATTTACTTCATGAGGTCAGATTGAGGTGTCCCTCTATTTCCTTGTGGGTAGAATTCCTATATGGTCAAGCAGCAAGGTTATATCTAGGCAACACACATATTCGGTCTTCTACTGGGGTTCAGCAACGAGACCCCTTGGGACCACTTCTCTTTGCCATTGTGTTGCACCCGCTCTTGCATAAGATTAGAGACAATTGCAAGCTTCTTCTCCATGCATGGTACTTGGATGATGGCATACTTATTGGAGATTCGGAGGAGGTGGCCAAAGCATTGGACATCATTACGGTGATTGGTCTAAAATTGGGCCTTCAGCTGAATATCAAGAAAACCGAGCTCTTTTGGCCCTCGTGTGATGGTAGGAAGTTACGGAGGGCGGGACTATTTCCGGCGGACATCGGGAGGCCGCCTTGGGGGTGAAACTTCTTGGGGAGCTGTTAGTAGAGATGCTAGTTTCATTCGCAGCTTAGCCATAAAGAGAGCCGGAAACGCTGTGAATTTGATGCGCCTTCTTCCACAATTGTCTGACCCCCAAAGTGAGCTCCTTCTTCTTCGGTATTGTATGGGTATTGCTAAGCTTTTCTTTGGGTTGAGGACGTGTCAACCCGTTCACATGGAGGAGGCGGCAATATTCTTTGACAATGGATTGCGCAGGGCGATTGAGGACATTGTGGTTTGTGGGGGCCCTTTCTTTGGTGACATACAATGGCGAATTGCTTCCTTACCCATTAGGTTTGGGGGTTTGGGTTTATCCTCGGCAGTAGAGGCTACCTCCTATGCTTTTGTTGCCTCAAGGGCCCAATCTTGGGTATTGCAAGACCACATCTTACGGGATAGCGGTATACATGGTATGGATTCTGATTATGACTGTGCCTTGGCATCCCTTAGCAACAAGCTTCCAGATTTTGACCTTAACAATTTTACTACTAAAGACACCGCCCCCCCCTAAATCCCAGAATACACTGGCGAGTGCCCTTTTTCGTAAAATTGTCCAAGATATGAAAGTGCATCTCGACATGACGGCTCGGCAGAAAGCGGTTTCCAGTGCTTACGTGCATCACATGCTCAAGATTTTCTTCTGGATATCCCTATAGATGGGCTTGGCCAGCACATGTCTCCCGTGGAGTATCGTACTATTCTCAAATATCGACTCATGATTCCCATATTCCCAGCTGACGAGATATGTCCTGTGTGTCGCAAGGCATGTTTGGACTCTTTTGGAGAGCATGCAGTTCACTGTAAAGAACTCTCGGGGTTCAAATACATACACAATATGGTTACGGATGTTTTGTTTGACATATTTAAGCGTGCCGGGGTTTCCGCTAAGAAAGAAGCACTTGTTAATTTCTTGACTGACCCGACAGAAGGAAGGTCAACCCTCAGACCGGCTGACATTTTGATTTTTGGATGGGTCGGAGGAAAACACGCATGTGTGGATCTTACAGGGGTATCCCCTCTCGTGGGCCTAAGGGCTGGGGGTTTCACGGCGGGACATGCTGCTTTAAAAGCAGCTACAGGCAAAGTCACCAAACATGAGAAATCGTGCATGGAAAATCAACACGTGTTCATACCATTTGCATTTGATACGTTTGGTTTCTTCGCACCGGATGCGGTAGAGCTTCTTAAAAGAGTACAACGAATCATGCATAGTAATGCTATATCCCCTAGATCTTCGGATGTACTCTTTAAAAGAATTAGCTTTACCATTCAAAAAGACTTAGCGGCACAGCTTGTTGCCCGTTTGCCATCTCACTCATTGTACGATGACAATTAAAATATTGGTGGAATGGAATTATAAGTTTTATTTTTAAAAAAAAATAAGAACCAAATAGTCTAAAAAAACCGAATAAACATTTATTATTTATTTATTTATAATATATAGATATAATAGAATAGATATTATAGATATATATATATATAATAAGATAAATATATATATATATATATATATATATAGATATTAGTTTATTTATTAATTTTCTAATTTATTTTTTCAAATAGGTTCAAAACGTCTTACCCAATAAAAAAACATTAATATGCATTTTCTCTAAAAAGTTTTATATCTATAAAATATTTAACTATAATATATCTTCTTAGTAATGGTTTATACATTTCAAATCACAATTAAATAATTTGTTTTTGTTTTTTGTGTAAAGTTGGGTAATATTATAATTATATGTCGTTTTAAAATGTTTTGGTTTTTGAAAACCGAATTATAAAAACCGATCCAACCGAATTGTAATTGGATTGGATCGGATCGGATTTGAATTTAGTTTGGACTATTCAGATCAATGTTTTGAAAATCGAAATCAATTTGGATTCACTTGATTGGATCGGATCAAACCGATTCATCCAAACGAACACCCCTACTTATTTCTCCACTCATATACTATTACATGAGTTTTACCACCATTTACTAGAACTACTTTTTTAGGGCTCCAACTTCTCCATAAAAATTTAATAATTTAATTATATTATTTCTTTGTGATTAATGTAGGTATTATATTTTGATTTTGTTATAATTTTATTATAATAGATATAAACTTACTTGATATAAATTCGAATTAATAAATGTATTTGATATAATTTTAAATATATATTATTGAGATATATATTAGACATGACCTATTCCCAGTTTTAAAATTCGTTTAGTTTTTTAACGTCAAACGTTTTCCATATTTTATATCATTTAGATATGAAACTCTACTTCAAATTCACATGAATTTAAATTGAATATATAATTGAGACCGTTTTATTTTTATCTAAACAATGAAATGAATTTGTTTCAATCCAAAGTATATTAAACATAACTTATTTTCGGTTTCAAAATCCGTTTATCGTGATAGCGTTATATGTTTTTCGGACTTTATGCTGTTGAAATATGACGTTACACGAACGTTCAAGGTTACACGAGTTTAATAATTTGAAAGTCATATTTTATCGAACCTAATACCTAAAATATTGTCCGAGTTCAAACTAATTATGATGCTTAATTTAATCTTTATTCTCAATAATTAAGTTCAACAACAAGTATTTGTACTTTACTTCAATAAAAAATATCACAAAAATAATAAATTTAGCAAATATCTTATGTGCTTTAACAAAATAGATTTCTTTTTTTAAATTGGTTTTGCCAATTTATTTTACATTTTGTTTTTGCAGGCATGGTTATAAAACCGTTTAAAGATTTACTCTTTATATATTCGTTTTTAAAAACTAGAATATGCAATATTCAAGACTTTCATGATTTCCCTTAAAATATTTTTTCTTCAACTCAACGCTGCCATGCATCTTCATGAAAACATTATAATGTTTGGTTGGTTTACCCATCAAATTTTCCCACATAAAAGACAAATTACAATTAATGTAGTTAGTGTTATAACAAAATAAGAATAATAAAATTTATAATTATGATACTAAGTTTCTACGGTACTGGTAAATCATATACTACCTACAATGTGCATTTGGCCAATTAGAATCTACGGTGTTGCGGTTCTGTTGAACGGTTTTTGAATTCTTTTGCCACTTATCTGCGGACCAATGTTGTTAAATGATATTATATATATTATATATATATATATATATATATATATATATAAAAATAGGAAATTAAAACTAAACAAAAAAAGTAATAATGTATCGTATCCATTACATCACAAAAACGTCGCCACACAGTATCAGTATGTGTTCGGAGAGGTAGTTATGCATCCCATTATAGTAGCTACAAAACCTTGGGTGGAGGGGTTTCCCATCTTTTCATTCCATGTTGGCAGATTGTCTCTTGATACCTTTGAGGACACACTTGAATGCATCAAATATGTTCTCATTCTCTTATGAATGGCCTATACTTGGTCGGTAAAAAATAAAAAATAAATTTAAAAATGCAAACTAAAAACAAATGACTATAAGATACAACAATAAGTATTTAATATATTACCTCGAAACGCGAAAACATATGTGTAAGAGCCTCATGGGGAATATCACTGAACTGGGCCCACAGATGATCTAAATTCTCCCAAAAGAGACAAATACACGTGCGGTGGAGTTTTTGATCCCCAAACCTACAGTATTGAAAAAAACTATATAAGTATAATTATAACATCAAAAAGTAAAGTTTTAAATGATGAAAACACTAACTTTTCCACATCTCGGCTGATGAGGGGCAACGAAGAGGCATGGAAATCACTCACATTCGAGCTGTGACCTCCTGAAATACCTCTAGAGGTGGAGCAATGCGGCATCGATGACGTGTTTGGTGCCCACGGTGTGTGTGGGGCTTGTGGCGACCGAAAGGTTTCCTCTTCATCTGCGCCCTCAAAACAATAGTCCTCAAATCCGTCATTACCACCTGTCCTCAAAAAAATTTGTGGGGACTAGGCCCTATAATCTATAATCTATCTGTAGGAGCTGGGGCTTATAATCCGTTTGTGGGAGCTGGGGCATATGACCCATATCTCAATCCCGACGGCGAAGAATCCCGACCAAGTCTGCTAGAGGATCAACCATGTCGGTTTGTTGACAAATAGCACCCTGACTGTTGGAGCATGCGACTCTTGTCACTATCAGCATATCGATCGGTATGAGCGATGTCCTATAACGTGGCTTGTCGGTAGAATTGGGGGATGGCCCCCTAATGCCCCGCACAGCCAAAAAAAGAGTTGTTACCGTGACCTATATCCTTACATACATTACCCAACATGCTGCATTTAATAGAACAAGAATGGTCAGATATATAATATAAGATTGACAAATCATGACAAAACAAATGTTTAAAAGAACAAGATGTCCAAACTAAAATCATTACAAAAACAACATTTAATTTTAAGGTTTAAAAAAATGCAATGCTCTTAAAACCAACAAATACAATGGTCTTATCATCAACAAAAGACAATTCTCTTAACATCCGTCCTCATCATCTTCGTCTTCAAATTCTTCTTCTGAATAATACAACTTGTTTTATATATGTATGTGTGTATTTAAATTTTTATGTGCATATGTGTAACATCCCCCTCTGACACATATCACAATATGGTCCGCTTTGGGCTCCCGACATGAAAACTTCCCAGGGGGATGTACAAATGGTATTAGAGCTGGGGAATGGGTCGATGTGTTCAACAGGGACGTCGAACCCTATAATAGGGGGTGAATGTGGGTTGCACATGATCCTACATCGGCTTTGAAGGAGAACGGAACATTTCCTTAAAAGGGGTGTGAATACCTTCTGTCGCAACGCGTTTTAGAGCCGTAAGGGCAACAGATCCCATAAGATCTATGCAGTTAAGCATGCCCTAGCGAGAGCAATTCAGGGATGGGTGACCCCTGAGAAGTTTTCGTTCTGGGAGCCCAAAGCAGATAATATTGTGATACGTGTCGAATGGGGATGTTAAAAATTGGTATCAGAGCCTTGGTTTGAGGGATTCGGGGCACCCTCGGGTGTGTCAGAACTCAAACTGAGGAAATGATAATCCTTTCAAAGGAAAAAGAATTGGATTTTTCTGAAAAAGGTTTTCTTAAGTAAAAAGGGAGAGTGCAATGTGTGCGATCAACCGAGCTCAAGTAAGTGTTTCACAAATTACCCATGCTTATGTGTTGTGATTAGTATGCTTGATATGTGAAATTACCTATGCTAAGGATACCATCAGAAGCTATATGATAGAATTGCGTGACTTGTGTGATGCCTTATAGCCTAGGAAAAATTTGATGCCATGTATTACTTGAAATCGATGTTGACTCTGTTAATTGCTAAGTGTATGCTTTCAAAGTTATATACGATTAGGATTGCATAGCCCTAGAATGATGCAATCTTCCTCATTTCTTGTTCCTTGTCTGGTTGTGGACTTAGGGTAGAAACTTTATTTGATAGTCTATATGATTCTATTTGTGTATAACTTGCATGCATAAGGCAACCTGCGGTGTTGATTGAGGTTTATGGTTCTGTGAGGATTGAGAAATCCTAGATGAGTCTAGGATATGTGTGTGATGTGTTTTATGAGTTATGTTTATGCATATAGTTTGGTGAAATTAGAGGAATCAGATATGACCTCGACGAAGGTACAAGTAGGTGTGGAAGGTAGTATTGGGCCCGTACTACTGGAAACACATAACCTGTACCCGAGGCAAGAATAGATCTGAAACTCTAAGGAGTCCGATGAGAAGGAATCCCTCGAACTTCCTTATGAATTGTTTTTATGTTGTATTTTCAGTTTGAGGATGGTGATGACTACACGAGGAGGTTCAGGTTCAGGATCGGGTTCTGGTTCAGGTTCAGGTTCAGTCGCTGAGCCAATTGACGAGAGGCTGCGTGAGCTTATCGCAACCGAGGTTAATCGCATCATCCTTGACGCCCCAGTGATTTTAGGTGCCATCAAGGAGGGGATTATTGAGATCATGGAGGAGCAGATAAGGTCATTTCGAGCTGAGATTGCCGCAGGACAGATTGGAGCTCTAACTCCCTCATTCTAGGAGTTTAAGGCATGCAGAGCACCTGAGTTCTTTAGGGCCAAGGACCCCATCGTTAGCCACCGCTGGATCGCTGACATGGAGAATGCTCAGTGCACGAGCTTTTTCCCCGAGGCGGAAAAAGTGGGATCCGCTTCTTGTTTGCTGAGGGACAGAGCACGAGACTGGTGGGAGGAGGTCACCAGAGCGGTTGGGACGACGACTGTTACAGTCAGTGACGGAGCTTGAAGTGTTGATTTGGGGGGGGGGGGGGGCGAAAAATAAAATATGTATAAAAATTGAGGAATAGGGGGGCCAAAGTCAAAATTTCTAGTTTTAGGCTTAATATGTAAAAATTTTAATACTTAAGGGTTAGTTATGAAAAAAAAACAGGGGGGGGGCCACAACCCCTCCTTGCCCTACATAAGCTTCGTCCCTGGTTACAGTGATGGGTTGGGAGTTGTTCTTATGCAGAGAGGACATGTGATTGCTTACATCTCGAGGCAGCTGAAGCCTCATGAGGCGAATTACCCTACACATGATTTGGAGTTAGGGGCAGTGGTGTTTGCCCTCAAGATCTGGAGGCACTATTTGTACGTAGTTCAGTGTACTATCTACACTTATCATAAAAGTTTGAAATACTTGATGGATAACCTAAATTTGAATATGTGGCAGCAGAGGTGGGTGGATGTGGTAAAAGATTATCACTGTGAGATTCTGTACCACACGGGAAGGCCAATGTGGTGGCCAATGCTTTGAGCCGTAAGGCGGTTTTCTCATCGATCAGAGATATTTGTTTGAGGATGGCTGTCACTTCACTTTTATGGATTTGATCAAAGAGGCTCAGGTGGAAGGATTAAAAAGGGAAAATTGGAAGAGTGAGTGGATTAGAGGACAGATTCCTTTGTTTGTTAGAGACATTCAGGAGTTATTGACTCAGTGTGGTAGGGTTGGGGTTTCGGCAGCATGTGGGGCGAGACAGACGATTTTGGAAAAGGCACATAATTCAAAATTTTCTATCCACCCGGGGTCCACGAATATGTACCGAGATTTGAGGTTGAATTATTGGTGGTCCTATATGAAAAAGGAAGTTGCTTGGTTCGTTAAGCGGTGTTTGACTTGTAGGAAGGTCAAAGCCGAACATCAGAGACCTCACGACAACGTCCAGCCGTTACCCATCCCTATGTGGAAGTGGGAGGAGATCACTATGGATTTTATCACGAAATTGCCCAGGACGGTGCGGGGTGTTGATTCTATTTAGGTCATAGTTGACAGTTTAACCAAAAGTGCATATTTTATCCCAATTGCCTAGAGTATATCTGCAGAAAAAGTTAGCGGATATCTATGTTCGGGAGGTGGTAGTCAGGCATGGGGTGCCGATATCTGTGGTCTCGGGTCGCAATGTTCGTTTCACCTCCAGGTTTTGGAGGAAGTTCCACGAGGAGTTGGGTACTCAATTGCACTTCAGTACAACATACCACCCCCAGACCGACAATCAGAGCGAGCGAACGATCCAGACGCTCGAGGACATTCTTCGGGCTTGCGTGTTGGATTTTGGAGGGAGTTGGGATACTTACCTTCCACTAGCAGAGTTCTCTTACAACAACAGTTATCATGCTAGTATTGATCGACCACCATTCTAGATGCTATATGGAAGGAGGTGTAGGACCCCGATTTGTTGGGGAGAGGTCGATCATCGGGTCATGGGAAGCACTGAGGTGGTGCTTCAGACCACTGATTTGTTCAGCAGGTGTGAGACAGACTGCGGCCGTGCAGAGTCCTCAAAAGAGTTATGCTGACCGACGCTGTTCGGATCTCAAGTTTCAGGTAGGAGAGTCTGTGTTGCTGAATGTGTCATCCAATTTCGGAAGAGGGGCAAGCTGGTTCCCCGATTTATTAGTCCATTTAGGATTTCTGCCCGTGTTGGCAGGGTTGCATACCGGCTGGATCTTCCGGATGAGCTCAGTCAGATCCATAACACTTTCCATATATCTCGGTTGCGGAAATATGTAGCCGATGATTCTGCAGTGATCTCGTTAGATGATATTCAGGTGGATGAGCGTTTGAATTATATGGAGAAGCCCGTTGCAATTCTTGACA